ATGAAGAGACCAAGGAACACCTTACAATGTTTACTGCTTCTGTTTTGTTTACTGTTTTTTTTTTTTGACAGAGCCTCTCTCTTTGTCATCCAGGCTGGAGTGTAATGGCACGATCTTGGCTCACTGCAACCTCTGCCACCCAAGTTCAAGCAATTCTCCTGCCTCAGCCTCCTGAGTAGCTGGGACTACAGGCACATGCCACCATGCCTGGCTAATTTTGGAATTTTTAGAAGAGATGGGGTTTCACCACATTGGTCAGGCTGGTCTTGAACTCCTGATCTCAGGTGATCCACCCACCTCGGCCTCCCAAAGTGCTGTTTTGTTTACTTTTATATTTTCTATAATGTTTATAGTCACTAAATAGGAAACCTTCTTTCACTTGGGCAGAAACAAGTTTGATCCAAGACATTTTCTGTCTTATTTTGTCAGAAATAAAGTCAACTTTGTCAGAAATAATGTCAACTTTTTCAGAAATAATGTCAACTTTGTTTCTCGCTTAACTTCTGCAGTATCTTGCAATCATCTGCTGAAGTACCTGCAGAGATCTTCCGAAACAACGTCTAGAATATCATGGAAGTCTCTCATGTATGCTCTGAAATGAGACCAGTAAGCTCTCTTCTCCGCATTCCTTGTTCCTCTGGCCTTCATCCACGTTTTCCAGCTTGATTATCTCTGTAGAGTACCACTGTGGCCTTCAGGAGCTTCCCAGTCATCCAGTAGCCTTACCTCTGCTTAAAGGATCACCGTTTTTGATGAACTGTTAATTTGCAAATTTTTATGGAGTACCTACGAAGTGTCTAGTATGAGACGCCAAACAAGAGGTAAGTTTGCCTGGTGTACAAGTTGGAGATGATAGCAAATGCCCTCACCTTAGTGGAGTTTACATTTTAGTGAAACCATGTTTGGGACATATAATTATAAACAAACCCATCATCTCCCCCAGCATATCTCTCCACAAGAGTAGAAGAGAAACAAAACAGTTTTATTATTGGAGAAGCATTAAACCAAAGTGGGATGAACATCACAGCCAATCTGTTAAGAGATTGCAAAGAAAGAAAGAAATCTCATTCTTTTAGGCAGGTCAGCAGATACAATCACTTACATGCATGATATCAAGGCTAACGATAACTAGTTCTCAAGGAAGAGGACTTGGCAGCATCATTTGTTGGATATAGTCTTACCTAAATTTACTTGGCAATTGTGGTTACCTGTGTTTGTAACTGTCTTTAAGATAAAAGAAGTATTTTCTCATGTCTATAACCTGTGGTAGGTTTGCAACTTGGAGCCAACCCAGAGGTGGAGTTAGAATCTTATTTTCCCAGAAAACTGGGAAATAAGTGCACTACTTCCTTGATGATATTTCAAAGAGATGGCTTCCAAATCCTTAAGAAACATGCTCGTAGTGTCACCGGCAAGAAGTTTATTAAGCTTTTTAAAAGATTTACATGCATTTTAGGAGGCGGAGAGTTTCCAGTTGCAAGTATTCTAAAATAAGTGCTTTAAGAAAAGGAAGAGGAGAAGTATCATCTCCTCATTTTCGACAAAGAGAACTAAGCCTTTTATCTTAAATTTGTATCTTATCTTTAAAAGGACACAGGCCATCAACAAGTAGATAAGAAATAAATAAATAAACCTATTTTATAATAAGAAAAATTCAAAACAGAATGTTCTGTAAAGAAAAGAAAATAAGTTAATGCATCCAGGGAGTACTTTATGTAGAATATGAAGTGTACGCTTTCTAAGGAAGTGACGTTTGACTTAAGATTTGAGAAGACAATGTGAAAATTCCAAGCAGGAAAGGAGTGAGTACCAAAGCCTTGTAAGAGGAACAAGACTGAATTGTTCAACAGACATGAACAGGCAGAAGTACCTGGAGTATAATGAAAGTTGGGGGAATAGAGAAAGATGGAGGTGAAGAGGAAAACCGTTAGATTGTTAAGGCTTTGTAGGTTAGAGAATGGAGTTTATATTTTATTCTGGTTTCATGGAGGTATTTCAAGCAGGGTAATAACATAATCTAATTTATGCATTAGAAAGATGCTCAGCGGCCGGGCACGGTGGCTCAAGCCTCTAATCCCAGCACTTTGGGAGGCCAAGGCGGGTGGATCACAAGGTCAACAGATCGAGACCATCCTGGTCAACATGGTGAAACTCTGTCTCTACTAAAAATACAAAAAATTAGCTGGGCACAGTGGTGCGTGCCTGTAATCCCAGCTACTCAGGAGGCTGAGGCAGGAGAATTGCCTGAACCCAGGAGGCGGAGGTTGCGGTGAGCCGAGATCGCACCATTGTACTCCAGCCTGGGTAACAAAAGCAAAACTCCGTCTCAAAAAAAAAAAAAAGATGCTCAGCTTCTGTGTGGCTGATGAGCTATTGGTGATGATCACTGCGGAAGCAAATAAGCAACGTGTGGAGGTAGAAAAACAGGTTAAAAAGCTGGTATGAGATGCCAAACAAGAGGTAAGTTTGCTAGGACTAGGGTTGCAGTAGTGGAGGTTCTGAGCAGTATAACAGGTTTGCAATATAATTAGAATAAAAGAAAAGTCATTGAGGAATGGGACGTATCCTGCCTCATGTGGGTTATGAGGGTAAGAATGGAATTAAGTGTGATTTCAAAATTTCTGGTTTTATAAAGATGGTAGCGGTGCCATCTATTACAATGATATGGACTTGTAAATTTGGGAGAAGGGAAGAATCATGGCTGGCCTACTGGGCATTTAAACAGCAATATTTAGTGGCAAATAGTCTGAAGCTATGGGGGAGTTTGCGTCTGCACTTCCTGTTCCATGTCGTCTGTGGCTTAATAGTCCCACTGAGCACTGCTGACTCCATTGGGCAGCTGTGCACTCTAGGTACCAGGGTGACAGGATATTCCATTGCCTAGTGGGTGAAAAACTTTTCTATTTTTGCTCTTACCTTTCACTTATAAGGTTCCATAGCAGTGTTTTTATGTGCCCCATTGTATCCATAAATCTTAATTACAACATGTAAACCAAGTTCAGTCTCACCCCTCCTGATCACTGAGCTTCTGCCAGGATCAAGCTTGTATTATCATGTGTTTTAAATTGCTTCTTTCACAGTGGTTTTTATACCAGTCACAGCCTGGCTCAGCTTGATCTCTGCCTTGGAGATCCACAGGGCAGAAAGCAAGATGTGGGCAGGACTGTGATTCTTTACGGAAGTTCTGGGGATGAATTTGTTTCCAAGGACTTGTATCATTCAAGTTGCTGGCAGAATTCAGTCCTATGGGGTTGTAGGATTGAAGTCAGTTTCCCTGCTGGCTGTCGACTTAGAGGCATTCTCAGCTTCTAGAGACAGTTCACATTTCTCAGCTTGTGGTTCCCTTTCTCCATCTTCAAAGCCAGTAATTGTTGCAGTAAGTAATTAGCCAGACATGAGCAGGGCAGGAGAAGGCCCCTGCCAACAGGAACGTCAGGCAACCATTAGATGATGGGCAAGCGGTTGGTAAACTGTCTCTCTAAAATAATAACAGTCACAGCCAGTGTCAGGGAAAGGCGATCTCCCAGTAGACAGACAAAACCTGAAACTGGTCATCAGCAGCTTCCCGATAAGATGTCAGGAGCTGGGTAAGTGGGTTTCAGCATGCACACCAAGAGGAAAAATGGTAGAGTTTAACTGGTATAAAATTACCTTCCTCTAGGAAAGGAAAAACACATCGAACATGTGCACAACTCCAGTAAACACACTGTGCATGAGGCCCCTCCAAGGTGCTGCCAGGCTACTGCACATGCAGAGAGGGAAGAATCCGGGGAGAAGAGAGGCAAGTCCCCAGAAGCATGGAAACATATAAGACACCAAGTCAAAGGTCAAACGGGGCACTGGACTCTCTCAAGTCTCCCCCTCTTGGCTGTCCTTCAAGTGTACCTTACTTTAATTTCTGCTCTAAAACTTTTAAACGAACTTTCACTTCTACTCTAAAGCTTGCCTTGGTCTCTCATTCTGCCTTGGTTGACCTCTCATCCCTTTTTGAGGAGGCAAATATTGAAGTTGCTGCTAATATAAAGAGTCCGTTTCCTGCTTCTGAGATCTCTGATACCTCCTTTGCCTTTACCTTTCCTCTGCTTGTCTCTCCTGACTTCTTGCTCTTCAACCAGCTAGAGAGCATCCTCTGCTTTTAAGGTAGCATGTGATTAGATTAGGTGCACCTGGATAATCCAAGCTACTCTTCCTACTTTAAGAACTCCAATATAGTAACCTAAATTCCTGCGTAATTTGCATAATCCTTTCAAGGCGACTAAATTCATATTTAATTGCATAACTAGAGGATGTAAATCTCAGGGGAAAATCTTTAGAATGCTATTTACCCAGTTCCTCAGTCTTAAAGAACCTTTTTTTTTTTGAGCTGACACACCAGTTCGTTAGTGTTATACAGATGAGTTTTAATCCCAGTAGCTGACAGCTTAACCCCAAACTAGTAACACTCCTGTAAAAATATTCATATGTTTATTTAACAACTACATATCGAGCTCATTATATTTTGAGCAGTAGAGATACAGCAGGAAAAAAGTTCAACAGATCTTCTTATGGCACATACATGCCGAAGATGCATGCTGATGAATGCTATTTTGATATCTTAATGAGACTGGTAGTCTAAAAATTGGGAAACTTTCAGCATACAAAATTCCAGCTTACTTTTCTATCATTAGTCTGAACATGATCAAATGAATGTGTTGGCCACTCTCACCTCTCACCTCTCCTTGATGTTATCTCATCAGTAACAGCAGAAACAAAAATCTTCCTCTCTACAATCTTCTTTTTTTTTTTTACAATTAAAGTCTACAACATAGAGTTTATTCATCTGCAGAATAACCAAGACTAGAAAATACTATACATTCCAAAGGAATTTGGCCCTTCAGATATTCAGCAGGCACCTAGAAGTCTTTTTCTGCAAATAGCTATTACATCTAAGAGTCTCAGAGATATAGATAAGTAGATTCAGAATGGAATTACTGGTCTGTGAGGTCATACTTGGACTATAGAGAAATCTAAAAGAACCAACGTTTTGAAGAGCTAAGAGCCACTTAGGGAGGAGTAAGTAAAGAAAGAAATTTTGTTCTGACTTGCTTGGTTGTGAGGGTCCTGGTTTGAGTCTGGAATTAGAGCATATTTCCTGAGGTGGCTATTCTTAGTTCATCCCATTCCCCATTTGACCCGCAACTGTTATCATTTTGTATCTAAGTAGTACCATAAGCCACTCATAAGACTGACCGGTAAGCCGGGCACGGTGGCTCACACCTGTAATCCCAACACTTTGGGAGGCCGAGGCTGGTGAATCACGAGGTCAAGAGATCGAGACCATCCTGGTCAACATGGTGAAACCCCGTCTCTACTCAAAATACAAAAAATTAGCTGGGCATGGTGGCGAGTGCCTGTAATCCCAGCTACTCGGGAAGCTGAGGCAGGAGAATTGTCTGAACCCAGGAGGCGGAGGTTGCGGTGAGCCGAGATCGCGCCATTGCACTCCAGCCTGGGTAGCGAAAGCGAAACTCCGCCTCAAAAAAAAAAAAAGACCGGTAAACGAAAAATGTGTAAGTAAATCCATTATCCTATCCCAAAGGCAAACATGCTAAGAACAAACGGAGGCCTACTTCACTGCCTACAGCCTCAGTAAGGTTGATTTGCCTATATAATTTATTTTGTTAAGAATTTTATTTTGTTGAGTTCCGTAAAATCACTCACCTTACCAGTAACAGTTGTATGGAAGGGAGTCATGAGAACAGACTGATGAATCTGATTTAGTTGGTTGAGTAGTTTTGTGTAGTTGTTTTAATGCTGCAAATACTAAGCATGATAATAATTTAATTTATAGTAAAGAGGAGAGGGAAGTGGAGGACTCGGTGCTAAAGAGGTGAAATGTCTCGAGGTTCTGGAGGCATACTGCTTCAACAATGAATGCCTGGGATGTCTTCGCTGACTCTCTGAAAGGTAAAGTTTGGCAGAGTATCATAATGTTGTCATTTCTAACTGTGCAGTCATCTTTTGAAATGAAGGGCTGTTGACAACGTAGTTAGAAATCCCAAATAACCTTCCTACCTCCTTTCACCCTAGTCCTTCAAAATCTTTTTGAAAGGAAGACAAGTACCAAAGTCTGATGAAAGAAACTGTCAGCTCATTTGAGCAAACATTTGTCCTCTCACTATTAAATCCCAAGTACTAATGCAAAATTATATTAAAGCCCCAGATCATTTCAGGGAGTTAGGGCGAGAGTCTGCACTGAAAAACAGACATAATACCTAATGACAACTGCCCCATTTCTGGATGTTCACACCAACACTGCCTCTCCTTCCATGTTTTTTTAGAAGCCAAGCAATCCCTCTAGAAATACCAGCAGCATCCAGATTTTACAAAAGGCAAGAGGATTCCAGGGGTAACGTAATGTTAACAGTTGTTAATGGTGGACCTGCATGTTGGCTTATTGTATTTTCATTTCTTAAATACATAGGTTTATTTTTAAATAGGTGGAAGAGAGGTATGCTATTCTTCTTCATAAACATTCAATAGACTGTGCAATTACTAGTTGGAGTTCTCTTCCTACCCCTACTCCGTGATAAAAGTTTGCAATCATTCATATACTATTGATTCCCAATCCAAGCTCAAGGACAGACATGTGTTCCCAGGATAAATTTGAATCACACACACAGACACACACAAACACAGACTTCTGTTTCTCACTCTTTTTCTTTTGTTTCACTATCTATGCAAGTGAATAAAAAGAAGCTAGTCCAATTACTCTCTGAGAAGTAGCCAGGCATAAAAAGACAAATACTCTATGATCTTACTTTATGTGGAATCTAAGAAAGTGGAGCTCATAGAAGCAGAGTAGAATGGTGGTTTCCAGGAGATGGGGATGGGGAAATTGGGGGATATGTTGCTCAGAGGTTACAAAGTTTCATTTAGATAATGAACAAAGTCTGGAGTTGTATTGTGCAAGAAGACTACAGTTAATAATAACATATTGCATACTCAAAAATTGCTAAGAGAGTAGATTTTTAATATTCTTACCACACACAGAAAGGATAACTATTTTAGATGATTAATTTGCTAATTAGCTTGATTGTGGTACTAATTTCACAATGCATATATAGGTCAAGACATTGCATTGTACACTGCAAACTCATGCAATTTTATTTGAAATATACCTTAATAAATCTAGGTAACAAAAGAAAGCAGGTTCAGAGTGTTAAGTAAGTGTGACTCTATAACATATACAAATATAGTTGAGGTTGTTCCCTGGGGATTTTACTTTGACTGCATTGAGATGAGTTCATAATTTCTTTGGAAAGAGATTAACAAGCAAAACAGGATCAATAAGGAAGGTCTGATTCTTTAGTGTGTGGGGGTGTGTTTCTTTTTTCTCCAAATGCTGAGCTCTCCTTCATCAGTGGTAACAGATGCGAAATGACAGATGTGAGACCAATGAGTTTCTCTTTAATATCTGCTCTTATGCTAAAATACCTGAACACACATCACTCACAGAGAGTGGAGCACATTCACCAGCTTTATTCACATGTAAAAGAAAGAGACATTTTCTAATATCAATTTTCCTCTTCTTAGCACCTGTGTAAAACCATAAGGATATGAATTTACCAGCCCATGCTTACCAAATCAAAAGAAAGCGTTCCACCCCAAAACTCAGGCAAGGAACTTTGCACAACCTCACGACCTTTGCTTGCACTTCAAAATGCAAAATAATAACATATAACTTTTCATGAGAATCAAATTCATATTGGACTTAACGCCTTTATCTTGTATTTATTGACTTCTGACTCTACACAATTTAGTGAACATCTGACTCTGCACTTGTTCCCTAAGATAATGTCCTCCACCCCAGCAGGATAAACCCTGCTGGAGGAAACACACGAGCACATCAATGACTGGAATCCAAGACATGGTCTGAGACTTGCTAAGGTAAAGCGTAACACTCTAAGTGTATGAAGAAATTTTGATGACTTAAATCTGGGAAGGCCAGAAAAAATTTTATGAAAGAAGAGGCAGGAAGCTTGAGCCTTTCTTAAATAGAAGACTCATACGATTCAAAAGACTAGAAAGAAAGTATTCCTAACCTAAGACTAGTGATAACCAACATTCGGAGATGATAAAAGCACAGCTAGGGTTAGAAAATGATGTGAGTCAGTTGGAGTGAAGGTTAATTTTATGTGTCAACCTAGTTGGGCCACAGTGTCTAAATATTTGTTCAAACACCAATTTAAACCTTGCTATGAAGGAATTTTTTAGTTCAGGTTAACATTTAAATCAGAAAACCTGGAGTGAAGCCAATGACCCCCAGTATTGTGGGTGGGCCTCATCTAACCAGTTGAAAATCTTAAGAGAAAAGAATAAAGTTTCCCTGAGGAAGAAGGAATTCTGTGATCAGACTGCTTCTAGACTTAGAGCTGAAACATCAGTTCTTCACCTGGGTCTTCAACCTGCCATTCTACCTTGCAGATTTTTGACTTGTCAGCCTTGACAATCATGTAAGCCAATTCCTTTATGTAAACCAGTCACTCTTCCTTTCTCTGTATCTCTCTGCGCGCGTACACACACACACACACACACACACACACACACACACACACACACTTTTATCTGGAGCTCTAATCCAATTAGAAAATCCTTAAGTGGAAAAGGGAAACTGTGGACAGTGGGTGGGAAAGGGGGCAAGCATGCTAGACTTCTATCATGTATGACCTGGGATTCCAGTGTAAGAAGCCTACTGTTTATTGTTCACCATAGTAAAGCCAAGCAGAGATTTTTGAACAGGACATCTTGTGTGTATGTGATGAACACCATTGCTAGTGTAAGGAATGATTTTTAAAGGGTCTGATGAGAACTAGAAAGACGACTAAGATATGGTTATCAACTGGCAATTAGTAGTAGTTTAGTTGGTTGCAGGCCTGGAACAGTACTGACCAGTTGGGAAGAAAAGCTAGCACTAGAATTTCCAAAATCTGGGGCCTCTGGTAATACTTTGTGGATTAGAGTCATTTGATGGCAGACGTCAGTGGAATGTAAGGACTTTGGATTACATCAACGGGACCTACTGTGAATGTGTGACTCACTTTGCCAGTCCCACTATTGGAGTCCAGATGTTTATGACTTTGATTGCTCCAACTTACCTAACAGTAGTAATTCAACATCCTGAAAGTTTCATCTAGATCTTTTTCACTGAGCCTAAAAAGAGTTAGAACCAGAGGCAGCTTCTACTTGCTCCCCACCCACCAACTTAACTCCCACTTTTCTTTCATCCAGTTTTCTCACTTACCAACTCCTGCTCAAAAGTCAATTTAGAATCCCTGTGATGCCAATGCAACATGAGGGCCCAGGAATCAAGAGGCAGAAGTGGAAGTGACACCACTCACCATCACACCTAGTGATCCACTAGCAAAATTTTTGCTTCCTGTCCCTGCAACATTATGTTCTGCCAGACTAGAGGTCTTAGTTCTAGAGTGAGGAACGCTGCCAGCAGAAGACACAACAGTTTCATTAAACTGGAAGTTAAGATTGCCACCTGGACACTTTGGGCTCATCCTACCTTTAAGTGAGCAGGCTAAGATATCCAACTGGGATGCCTGCCTCCTGGGGACCTGCATCATAGTTTCTGCACTGGAAGACTGTGCCTGACCATTGGAGAGCTCCAGCAGAGTGGTCCCTGCTGACACACACAAGCCCATCCACACCCTAATCCTATGGCAACCTCCCACATGCCACTTTGCTGGCACATACTTGCCCATGTCCACCTACCCCATCACTTTGCTGAAGCATGAGAATGCAGGTGGACCTTGCCTCCACTTACCTGCTAGCATGTGTGTGTGCATGCACCCCAACATGCTTCTGTTCCCAGTATGTGAGTGTACCCCACTCCCAGCCATGCCACCATTGCCAGTGTGAATGCATACATATATAGGCCAGCAGCCCTTCTCACACTCTGTGTTGCCACTGTTGCCAAAGCCTGCATAGAGGCCAGCAACCCTGTGCCCACCAGTGCCTCACCCCACCCTATGAGTGGGTACTCCACCATGCTGCTGCTGCTGGCACAGACAAATGAGCACTGCCACCACCTGATGCAATGCTTTGGCTGGCACTACCCAATAGATCGTAATGGCCACCAGTCCTGGAATACCTCAGCCCTTCCAATGCACATGTTTATAACCTCAAGGGGCCAGAGAACAAAGCTCAGGATCCAATACCAACCCCCAGAATTAAAGCATGCAGCTTATGGGTGCTAAGCTGTGCCATGACCTTCTAAAATCTTCCACAAATGAAGCCAGTCAACTAAACCCACCTTATACCACAATGAAACCTCCAAGGGCATTGAAGATTAAAGCCAAAAACTCATTCAAAGGAGAGCAACATCAAAGAGTGAAGGAGCAAAGCAAGAACTTTGCTGAGAACTTTATGAGATCATAAAGATGAGGAAGAGCAAAGCAAGAACTCAAAAAGCTAGAGTGTCTTCTTACCTCTAAACAGCTATACTAGTTCCTCTGCAATGATCCTTAACCAGTCTGAAATGGCAGAAATGGAATTCAGAATATGAATAGGAATGAAGATCATCAAGATTTGGGAGAAAGTCAAAACCAAATTAATGGATTTAAGAAATATAATAATATGATACAGAAGATGAAAGATGAAATGATCATATTTAGAATGAACTAAACCCATCTGATAGAGCTGAAAAACTCACTTCAGAAATTTCAGAATATACTTGCAAGTATTAATAGCAGAATGGACCAAGCCGAGGAAAATATCTCATAGCTCAAAGACTGGTTCTCTGAAATAACTCAGTCAGACAAAAATAAAGAAGATTGTTTAAAATAACAAATATTTAAAATAGCCAAACCTCCAAGAAATATGGGATTATGTAAAGACACCAAACCTATGACTCAGGTGTCCCTAAAAGAGAAAGAGTGAAAACAAGCAACTTGGAAAACATATCTCAGGAGATTGTCTATGAAAACTTCCCCAACCTGTATAGAGATACCAACATTTAAATTCAGGAGATGTAATGAACTCCTGTGAAATGTGACACAAGAAGACCATCACCAAGACACATAGTCATTAGATTCTGTAAGAAAAAAAATATTAAAGGTAACTGGAGAGAAGGGTCAGGTTATACCCAAAGAGAACCTCATCAGGCTAACAATGAACCTTTCAGGAGAAACACTACTACAAGCCAGAAGAGATTGGAGAGCTCCAGCAGAGTGGTCCCTGCTGACACACACAAGCCCATCCACACCCTAATCCTATGGCAACCTCCCACGTGCCACTTTGCTGGCACATACTTGCCCATGTCCACCTACCCCATCACTTTGCTGAAGCATGAGAATACAGGTGGACCTTGCCAGGGGCCTATATTCAGCATTCTTAAAG